TAAGAGAACATCAAAGATGTATAAATTATAATAATATCCGCTTAGGAGAATTTAAAAAGATACTAGGTTATAAGAAAAGATTGTTTTATCGTGATTACTCAAAGAAAGGTAGTATTTTCAGTTCCTAAGAGAACTCTTGAGCCTTTTTACCAACCAAATAATGTGTACTGGTTTTAAAGAAAAACAATACAATGTGCATTATAAACATGGAAGAAAGGTCATTTAAATTTTGTATTATAATAATCAAGTGGTATATGACCTTCAAGGCAACATACAAATTCTTATAAAATACCTAAAATCTCAACCATCCCTTTTAGAATCACTGAGTTTTAAGAATTAACAAGCCTAAGTCAAGATCCTGTATCTAAAAACATATAGCCCTTTTAAAGAAATGTCATTTTGTTTTAATTATGTAACATGAATTTGTTATAAAATTATTTATTGGAATAATCCCCCTATAGCATTTTGCTTTTTGACTCTGAGAAGTAAAGACATGTCACTGATGGCCTTCCCAATGATCTGGTAAGGTACAAAGTCAGGGATAATTCAGGGAAAAACTTTTAGGACCTGATTATTGCTTTAGAGGTATAGCCACTGTGAGGATCCTACCTGGTTTGGGAGAGAGGGGTATCTGTGTATAGGAGGCCTGACCTGGAGTGGGGAGAATGGTCAGGAGAGAGAAGAAGAAGGAAAGATTATGAGACAAATTGCCTACTTGGATTGCTTTAGAATTGGTTTTGCTGTAACAATGGAATGTTTGAGTTTTTGTATCTCATTATGATATCAAAAGAGGATGTTTGGTTTCTTATGTTTAAACATTTTTAATATACAATATATTGTTTATAAATCTGTTTATCTGAAGTTAATTTGTGTGGTGATTTTAAACACGGTGCAAATTTTTTGATGCTCCTTCCATTAAAAGATGAGTGGAATTCCCCTCTCTAGAATATGTATGGCATTAGTGATTTTTCTCTAACGAACCTAATGTGATGGATATGATGCTGCATGACCTCTAAGATTAGGTCATAGAAGGTGATACAGCTTTACCTGGCTCTCAGTCTTGGGACACTTGGAACCCAGCAACCCTGTTGTGAGAAAGCCCAAACCATAAGGAGAGGTCATTGCGTAGGTGTTCTGACCTGACTGCCCCAGCTAAGGTCCCAGGCATCAGTGAGTACTAATCACTAGACATGTAAGTGAACAAGCCTTTGGATGGTGCCAGCCTCCAGCCTATGGGCTGCCCCAGATGAGGCCAAGTGGATTAGAAACAAACTATCCTTGCAGAGCCCTACCCAGATTGCATATTCAAGTAAAGTAATGAATAAGTTCTGGGGTGGTTTGTTATGTACTTGAGCCCCTGTTTGTAGGGACTAGTTCTAGCTCAGGTTAGCTGTAACAAGTAGGAAGGAGATGGAGGAAGCAAAAGAAAACGCTTTCCCTCCACTTTTTCTTGTTTTCTTAGCCAGACTGAGACCTTAGCACCTCCTAGTACTAATTGTTGGTGTATAAGTATGCTTTTGAAGTGCCATCAGGAACCAAAAAAATACCATAATGGGGACCTATCTAAACTCCTTTTCCTTGAATGAAGGCTTAGTGTCTGAGCAGGGAAAAGAGAAAGCTTGAGTCTATTTCTTCTTTTCTTCTCCCCTAGGTATCCCTAGTTTCAAAAAAGAGGGGAAAGCAAGATTTAATCATCTCCTGCCCTCATCTCTCTTCTGAATTAAAATCTTTGGAAAGGTGCCCCCCCCCCCCAGAAATAATACAGACTTTTCAATCTTATGAAAGGACTAAAGCTGCAACATATTTTCATTCCTTATCAAGGAAGCAGGATTTACTGACCAAAGTTATACACTAAGGACACCATTCAGTCTTTAGTCACTCATCAGTGCCCTTGAAAGTTTCCTCTGGCTCCTCCCCTTCCCCTAAATGTGGGCTTTCCCCAGGGTTCTCTTCTCAGACCTCTTCTCACTTTGCACACTTTCTGGTTCATCTTATACATTCCCATGACTTTAGTTACCATCTACATTTTATTGACTCCAGAGAGCCAGACTTTACTTCCAACCCTCCTGGGCTAGTTCCCGGATAGCTCAAATTCCACAGGGACAAAAGAGGGTTCCTCCTCCTGGACCTAAGGCCCACTCCCCATCCCAGTCCACACACTGGACCAGAAACCTAGGGATCTCCTGCCCTTGCCCCATACAACCAATCAGTTTCCCATTTCAATTCATTTTAATTACTTCTCTTGATTCCCTCTTCTCTCTATTACCACTGTCATTAGGCACACAGCAGTGGTCCCAGTCCATTCTTACTTAGATTACAGGCTGTTTTACATTCCATCTTCAAGTCTCCAGGACCCCAGCCAATGTAATCTTTTCAAAGACCTCTAATCTTTTCACACCTGACTATGCATTTCCATTAAAAAATCTTTCTTGGTTCTCCCTTTCCTATAGGTTTAATCCTGAGGCCCAATAGTGCTTTACTTACAAACCCCTTGAAAATGTATGCAAAACTGTAGTATAGATCTATAGGTACATTTTTCTGGAGAGGCCACAGTGCTTCCCATAGGTTCTCAAAAGGGTATGTGTCTACAAAAAGGTTAAAAAGTTGTAGCTCTCAGGATAAAGGTCAGACTCCTCTGGCCTTCTGTCCAGCTTCCTTTCTCATCCGTCTTTATTCCCTTCTTGTCCTGTACTTCTCTCTCTGTAGTTCCAGGCCTTTATACATTCTGCTTCACTCTCTCAGCTTAGGAAGCCCCTTCCTTTCCTAGCTGGCCTAACTGGCTATCCAGGAGACCACCTTCTTTCTTTCAGGAAACACCTCAGATCTTGCTACCTATAGAAAACTGTGCGGGGCTAGGCAAGCTGGGTATGAACTGTTGGCTCCGTGAAGCCCGACTAGCAATGGCTCTTTTTTAGCATTTACCCCCTGGATTTCCGAACTGGGGTGGGGGCGAGTGGGGGGATGGGAGAAAAAGAAAAAAATAAAACCCATAAAGCCTGTAAAACAAGCAAGGACTGATAATTGTTTCTGCAGCACTTACACACTGTAAAACTCCAGGCTGCAATATACATTTTTACAGTACTTTCTGGGAAGAAATTGGGTGGTAAACGTGTAATTTATATTTGTCAGCAGTTGTGATGGTAAATACCACACACACCTTCCTGTTACAGAATATAGGAATTTTCAACATCAACCAATTTTCCTTTATTTTATGCCTAGCCACCGGAAGGTGTTAGGTCTATTATTTAAGAAATCCTGTAAAAATGCAGTTCTGATATTTTGTAACCTGCTAGGAGGGCTGCTGGGTCATATATCTGTATTATTGCTCCTAGTTCACGCAGCACCAGAACAGTCTACCATCACGACGTGTCCCTAAACTTCTCCATCTACCCTGGAAGATGTTCCAACTTTTTGAGAGAAAACGTGTTTTGACTACTATACTCGTGAGAGCTGCTGGGTCTTACAGCATAGGATCTGAGTCAAACCTTTTTTCTTTAAAAAAAAAAAAAAAAAGTTTTTTAGTTGTCTCTTAACAGAGCTCTTTGCCCTCCACTGGCGGACGGATCTGAGTGAAGTGTATTGCCCTGCTAGTAACGCGTCAACTTATAAATAGCGCTTACCGCGCTGAGTCACCAAAACCCCGAATTTCCCCAAATAGCTTATAACGACTGCAGGAATCGCGTCCCCTGGAGCGGTGACCGACTCCTACCACACACCCGCAGGACTTTAGGCCCGCGCCACTGAGCGGGTTCCCCGCCCCCCAGCCGCTCGGCGCCCCGGGAACGCGGGCAAAGCCGCCAAATTCCCAACCGGGAGTCGAGAGTGTTGGACCTCGCGCGCTCCGACGGCGCTCTGGGGACGCAGCGGGACTTGGCCTTGACTGCTCCGGGGCCGCCCCGCCCCCTACGGAGCTAGGAGCCGCGGGGGGCCGGCACCAGCCTCCGCCCAGCGCCTCCCGCTCACACAATGGGACGCGTCGGGAGGGGGTGGCCACCGCTCCCACTCCGGTTCAGGCCCGGGACTCTGGATTGCTGAGGAAGCAGCCAGGGGCTGGGGCAGTGAGGAAAACCCCTGTCCACCCTCCGCCCACTCCCACACTTGGAAATGGCTGCAACCGCAGTTACAGGAGGCTGCAGAAGAGATGGGGGAGGGAGCGGAAGTGCCACCCCCTGCAGTCAGGGGATGGTGACGTCACCCCTACAGTCAGCCTGTAGCGGGGGCGTCTGCCCGTCACGTGACCCAGCCCCCCCCCGCCGCCGAATCTCGCGCGCGCCTCCCTCCCCCAGCTCCGACTCCCACCTCTCCCCCGCCCCTTCTCCCCAACTTTCGCCCTCCCTGCTCCAGCACTGCTGTCAACAGCACCAGCTCCGCCCCCTCCCCCGCGCCCTGAGTAACCGCCACGGCGGCGCGGCAGGCGCTCGCGCACAGGTCCCGGGCTCCCGAATGAGAACTTGCCCCCTGACCCCACCTTGCCCCCCAAATGCCTGGCGCCCTGGGTGCGTGGGCACCGGAGCCAGGGTGCGCGGCGGCGTGTGGCGACAGCTCTTCTCTGCTCAGCCCTCCCACAGCAGCCGCAGGACGAGGCGGAGACGCCAGGTCCGAGTTCGGAGGGGGCGAGGCGCGCTCAGCGGCCTCCTGGACCTGGCACGTCTCTGCCGGGGGTCGGCCCCCGGGCGGGAGCGGCAACCGGGAGCCAGCCTTCGACCCGCACCTCCGCAGCGCTCCCGCCTCCGCTCTCCTTGCCGCTTGGGCGGCGCACGCTAGTCCTGCCTGGCTTCGTCTCCGGCCGCGACACCGGCACCGGCCGTACGACGAGGGTCCAGGCGCTGACCGCCTCCTTGAGCCCCCTCGGCCACCCCGCCGTGGACTGCTGGGGTTGCAAATTTGGTGGCTGTCACTGCTTCGCCTTGTTCTATTTTTTCCCTCAATTCCCTTCTAAAAGTAGAGGCTTGGGGGAGGGAAAAGAAAACCCAGTGTAGAAAGGGGCGGTACGAACTGACCTGTCAACGGCGGAGGAGGAAGACCCCGGTTCGGGGCGAACTCTCGAGCCCGCGCAGGGACCGGAGTCCTGGGTTCGCGCGGAGCGGTGCGGCGGCAGCTGTGCCTCAGCCAGGTGTCCCCCCTCGGCGGGGCCCGCGCTACCGCGCCCGCCCCCTCCCCTGGCGCCGCGCTCCCCGCCCCGTCGCCAGGGACCAGGGAACCCCCCAGCTCGATTTTTTGTGCAGTTTCAGCAAAGCTCCGAGGAAGTTGGTCCTTTTGTTCCACTATTTATAGATTGCGTCAACATTGCGAAAAGGAGAAGGCGGAGCGGTGGCCCCTCCCCCTCCCTCCGCCGGCTCCTGGGAGAGAAAAGCCCCAGCACACGACCTAAGTACACAGCAGCCAGCCGTCCGCCCGCCCCCGGCCTCCTGCTCGCCGCTTCCCCCTCCTCCTAGCCCGGGCCAGAGCGCTGCCAACCCCGTCACGTGCCCGCCCGGGAAAACCAGCTCGCCGGTGCTCCGCGCCGCCCGCCAGGCTCCGTGGCGGCTGCGGCTGCCTCGCTCAGCTGTGCGCCCAGCTCGTGGGCTCCGGCTGTAGCCCGAGTGTCGCGCACAGCGTGGGCACCCACGTCTTAGCCACCCGGCGGGGACCCCTGGCCCGCAGCTCTTGGGTGTGCTCACAAAGGTCCGGCGCTTCCGCCCTCCACAGCAACCCCCCCCCCCCCCGCTTCGGGAGCGCCACCGCCCCGGTCGCGAAGTGTGCGCGCATTCGGGCCTCGCCTCGGAGCCAGGGGCCTGACTTGTCCCTCGCTCGGCCGCTTCCCCTGGCGTTGGGATGCCCGCCCCCACCCTCCCCCGCATGATCGGATGAGGGCGGGGGATTGAGGCTTGCGGAGGTGGCTCGCAGCGGCTCTCAAGCTGGTCCGCTGAGCGCGGGGAGCGCGGTGCGGCCGTTTCAGGACGCGCGGAGACGCACTCTCTACTCCGCAGGTGCAACGAGGCATTAAGAGAGTTTACTTACCGCTTCCCGGACAGCTGGGAATCGAGGAGTTTGCAGACCTAAGCCACAGTGGGGGGAATATGGTTTTTGAGTAGTTACTGTAAGTTAGATATGTGACAAAAACATTGGAACTTTCCTTCAAAACCTGATGAAATGATAGGCCCCGGTATACCCCCGAAATGAAACTGAGCTCCCTACCGGCCTAAAGCCTCTGTTTCTGAGTTCGATGTAAACAAGGAAGGCGGTAAATACGAGAGGAAGGCCTTATAACAATACCAAGTGCAAGTAGCTAGTTTGAGTGTAATTTACCTTCTCGCCTTATGGGACTTTTCCCTAGCTAATTTATTTAGATCGCAGTTTGAGTCGGAGTAAAACATTGTAGCCCATCAGATCACGGATGGAGGAAAGCCCAGGCTCAGCTGGGACGAGTGCAGGAAATGCGTTGGACCTTTCCGGGCAGCTGGACGGTGTGGTAAACAGTCTGGAAGGGTTATGTTATTTTCTGAGGATTTTGGAGAGACTGTACCCGTGCGTTCAGCCTCGTTCTGGCTCAAGTGCAGACCAGGGGAGCGGGGGCGGGACCTCTGTACCGGCCCGCGCCCGCGAGCCGCGCTTCCTGGCCGTGCACTGTGCTTGTCCAAACTTAGGAGAGCTTTCGCACGGGCCACATGGGGCAGCAATAAGTGTGCCACTGTTTGACTAACCGTTCCAAGTTTGGGCCTTGTTTGTTTGTTTGTTTGTTTGTTTGTTTGTTTGTTTGAAGGGGGAGAACTTAGGCCGTGGGTTCATCAGTTTAGCAACGTGTGCTTCGCTCGCCATAAAGACGGAGGTGAGAAGAAATAAAGCAAACCTTTATAGTGGCTGCTGGGTTTGCAAAGCGCGGAGCTGAGCGGACCCGCTTCAAATTGGACGACGTGTTGGTCCCCTGACACCTGACGGGTCTTAGAGTTTGGTAGGGGAAGCCACTCTTAATCTTATGGCTTTCGTGCCTCCTCTCTTTTCCAACTTAGTGAAAGGTCCAGGCCGCCCCTCTTCCCGCCTTTCCACTCTGCCTTGTCTTCTGTATTTGAAAGACACAGCCTGCCTAAGAAGGCGAATTCGTTTACGAGCCAATTTTGTTACATCCATACCTACAAACCACGTTTCTTTGCAAGAAGAAAATAATCCAGGGCCTCCTGGTCCTTCCCGCCCCTGCAGATGGCAGGGGTGTCCAGGCCTGAGCCTTAGCCTTCCTTCCCCCTTCCCGTTTCGGGCCAAACCGCAGTGTCCCCGCTACTTTGTCGGGACACGTGCCTTTTACCCCCACTTTGTTCTTCCGCAGTCTTTTCAGCTGCGGCGAGGAGGGAGCGAAAGTAAAACGAAAGCACCCGGGCGCATCAGTCGCAGCGGCTTCCCTGGGTTTCCCTGAGAGCGGCCGCGGGAGGCTAAGGTCTGGGGTAGGGAGGCGAGAGTGGACGCCAGAGCTGCGCAGAAACCGGGTCGGGGGTGGTCTCCGGAGGGCGTCCGGGGGCTGCCATGAACCCTAGCGCTCCTCCTCCCCCTGGGAGAAGCGAATGCCAGTCCAGAAGGGAAAGTTTGGCCTGGATCTGGAATTGAAATTCGAGACTGATTAGGGCTGTGCGGAGGGGACGCGGAGGCCAAGGAGCGTGGCGCGGAGGCGAGCGTTGGCCCCTGGAGGCGGATCCCGGGGAGAGGCCTGGGCGAGCGAGTGCGCACAGAGGCCGCAGAGGCCCACAGAATTGCTGATCCACTGACGTTGAATAAGCATCGAGACTCCCTGCAAAAACCAGAGTTCTACGTGGTATAAAGATTTCAGAAAACTTTGGTGACATCCTCTGCTCCTGCCCTCCTCCCTCGCAGTAGTCACCGCGGGGACAAAGGCGGCCTGCGCAGATTTGGATGAGGAGCGGCCAGTGTGGGCGGCCTTACCGGCCGCAGATTTTCTCGGTTAAGGGAAGGCTTGAGAATATCTTCACTAGGTGAAGGTAATCCCCCACAATCATCTCTCAGGGATGGCAGCCAGTCCCAAATTGCGTCCTCGCTTCCCTACCCACCCCCGCAGTGACCCAACACTAGAAGACTGGCCTGCTAGAGGCTCTCTCTGTCGCTCCAGTACATATATGTAATGCCAAACTCCAGAAAAGCACCACCTTACCCTAATAAACAACTAACTTTATTCTATTTAATGGTACATTTGTTGTAGCAATATCTGCGAGTTCTGGCAAGTGTTAAAAAAATCATTTGATTCTAAATGAGTCGAATGTGGAAACAGTTTTCTGTACGAGTAGTTGGGTCTGTGCTTTCTCTCCCTGGCACCTACTGCAACGGTGCAGCCCACAGCTGTTACATCTCTAGCTGTTCAGAGGCGCTTTCGCATCTCACCCTTTCGCTCTTTAAATAGAGAGACTTGGGAATGTGTACTTGTTTGCGTCGTTTAGATCCCACATTGCTGGTCATTCATTTCACCAAAGTGACTTTAAAACAGCTGTAATTTTAAAAGATGCAAAACTGAGTTCGCTTAGGCGAGCCTTGGGAAGGCAGTCTTGGTTTCCTGCTAGTGTTTCGCTGGTAACAGGCAGTAGTCAATCCCAGACTAGCGTTCGTTTTTATTCCTTCCTTTTTCACCACAACTGCAAATGCCAGAAAGTTCTAACTGTAAAAAAAAAAAGACGGCCTATTCCACCCAAATTTCTTTATACAATGTTGAGAAGAGAGCTACAGGTTAAATAGAACCTTAGGTTTATCGACCCTTAGGCTACCCTTTTGTAAAGAACCATCTATTTCTTAAAAAAATATTCATCAGAAGCTGTTTTTGACGCAGCAGACTGATAAAAAAAAAAAGCCTGCTTTCACTATGTTCGCCCTTTGGCTTCATACCTGGCCACTGTTCTCACTTTCTTGCAAGTTTTTCCTCTTGTAACTTACTGTTGTGAAACAGAGGTTCCATCAGGTTATCTTGCTTACCTGGGCGTCTGTAATTATGAAGTTGGTCTATTCTCCACCCCACTTAAATAAAAAGTACATGCATGGCTTTGAAAGCCATAGTTGTCTTTATTACGCACCCTCTTTTTTTTTTTTTTTTTTTTAATCTCCGCACACGCAAATGACACATTTCCTGGTCTAGGATAAAACTGCAGCACCTAAAACGTTACCAGTCTGGGCAGTCCCTTGAGCCATCGAAAGCCCAAGCTTGCGTACTCCACTGGAACCCGCACCAGAAACCTCGATTTGGAGTCCAGTTTGGAAACAAATCTGTGCTTTTCGCGGTGAAATGGGAACTTGCCCAAGCGATGCATCTGGCTTTAGATTTTATGGGGAATATGATCTGGAAAAGGGAACGCCTGCTTCAGGCGTGGCCACATGCCCCGTGCGGATCCCTGGGGGCTCCCTCCAGCAAACAGTGCGCGGGGCCTCGACCCGCAGGGCCTCAGCCAACCTCTGGGCGCCCTGGTTTGGGTTAACCCCACACTGGCGCTCTCCCTTCCCGGCTTCGCCTGGGGTCGCTCTCGGCGGCTGACGAAGCTTTTAGACTAGAGGAGAAAGCTTGAGGCTGAGATCAGATGTCCTTAAAGGGGCTGGGAAAGGGAGAGGCTCTTCGCAGTTAGTGCCAAAGAACTCGGACACCCCGCGCTCCACTCGAGGTGAAGACAACCGTCCTGGGGGAGCACAAGTGTTCCCCAGACTTTGCCAAAGTTTCGAGAATCCAGAAGTAGCATGTCCTCCACCTCCGCCCACCACTGGTTCATTTCACAATCCCCTCCCTTCAGGTTGCTTTAGGAGGTGACCTAGGCGGAGTGGGGGTAGGGTGGGAGGTGGGGTTGGGGTGAGATGTAGAGGTTAAGCATTCTCTCTGTTTAGCGCTCCCTCGGCTGCGGAAACCTGTAAGGGGTTAAATGGCGCGGCGGGGTGGGCGTGGGGAGTGGTGCCTGGGTTCGGCCCCGACGGGCGGGAGAAACGGGGTGAGGGTGTGGGATCCCGGAAAGGGCCGGGAAAGCGGGGACCAAGGAGGGAGGGTGTGAGGCGAGGTTTTCTGCTGTTGGGGGTTGGTTTCAAGGAAGATGCGGGCGGTAATGGGGATGGGACCGGTAGCCGAAGAGCCAAGCACTGGTTAGTGCACGTCTTGGCCCCCCTGGACAGGATTATGTCAGGAGACCTCTCTGGCATGGAGGTCTGACCAGCGGAGAAGATACTCGCCCTCGGGCTTTCTCCGCGAGCGGGGCAGGGCGGGCGCAGGGAGGCTGGCGGTGCGCCGCGCCGAGCCCGGGGCGCTGAGGTCGACAAGTAGCCTTCGGAGCGGGCGGCGGCCCTTCGCCAGTCTACGTGGAAA